GAAACAAGGCAGGACACAGCTGTATTTGCTTCTGGATCAAAAAGTAGAGTTGAGAAAGCACCAGGTATTTATTTGAGAAGGCATCAGGTATTTCTTTGTGTCTACATCTAGATAAGTATTCCTTGCCATCAAGGAAATACTTATAATTGTTGACCTTAAACTAGAGCACATACCTGTTACTGGCTAAGTATTACAGACCTAGGCATGTAGTGACGGAGGAAAGCAAGAACTGACATTTGTCTCCGAGGGCTAGAGACTTAACATGACAATCTCTTGAGTTCTACAGTGGCTTAAGGAAGATGGAGAGTGACCCCACAGATGCTAGACAGATAAATGCAGAAGGGCCAGGATATGGGACCAAAAGTTAAACCAGGCTAGACATATGTGAGACTTCTGGGTATAAAGTACAGTGCCAGGACTGTGGGAATGGCTTAGTGGGTGGAGGCATTTGCTGCTGAGCCTAGCTAACTGGCTTAGAGTAGGTTCTTTAAGCCAAGTTTGTTGTTGTTGTTGTTGTTTGCTTTGAGACAAGGTGTCATATAGCCCAGGCTTGCCTTAAACTCTAGATTCTCCTCCTTCCTGAGTGTTAGGATTATAGGCTTGCTTCTCACTAGGCCCAGCAAGGGTTCTTGTCTGAGTGATTTATTGATGGTACTCTCCAGAGAACCCTCTGGGGAAGTGAGGAGCAGCAGAGAGCAGAGACAAAATCTAACCCAAGATAACTGCAGCCCAAGTTTCCCCTCTTCCCAGTGGCACAGCAAGCCTTGGAGTGTCAATGGCACCAGAGTATACTGCCCACCCAGAGCAAGGGACCAGCCTTGGCACCTCCAGCCCATACCCAGGTAGAGAACAATCACTTGGGCATTTCTGGGTAAGATGACTACTGTCAATTGAGGGCGGTCTCAGGAGCAGGGACATCTGTGAGCCCTCAGCAGCCAGCACTCAGAACAGCTGGCACATGAGTCAACATCTGGCAGAGCACCAGCAACATCTCCTGAGGCAGCGCATCTGCATTGGTGCTCCAGGAGCAGCAGGGTCAGCTTCATCTCTGGTCCCTCGGCCCACCCCCAAGTCTACTGAGCCCCAAACCCTGAAAGTGAGACTTGAGCATCTGCATTTTATCCAGCCCTCCTGGTAGTTTCAGTACATGTGCAAATGTGGGAACCACTGTGCTACGAGGGCAGATGACTGGAAGCTGTAAAACAGATAAAGCCCTGGGAAAATAGAGAAGATGCAGAACATGTGTTGCAAGAGAAATTACACACACAATTCCCAGACTCAAGTGATCCAGCAGTCCTCCCAACAGAGTAGCTGAGAATGTAGGTACCTGCCACTACTTCTGACTCCCACATTCCAGGAATATTTGCTACAGGACAATCCATTCTAGGATGGGCCTTGCAGAGGTGCTGTACTTCAGTGTAAAAGGGGCTATGGGTTTCCAGGCAGAAAAAGTGGTTTAAGTGCGGCTGCCCCAAGTCACCTCCTCTATAACTTTGCTGTCAGACCATCATCTAGTCATGTCCACCAGTCTCAGTCAGAGATTGGAGCATGAGATTCCTCAGCTCAGTCATGATGCTTTCCGCCTCAGGAGATGTTGCTGGTGCTTTGCCAGATGTTGACTCACGTGCCAGTTGTTCTGAGTGCTGGCTGCTGAGGGCTCACAGATGTCCCTGCTCCTGAGACCGCCCTCAATTGACAGGAGTCATCTTACCCAGAAATGCCCAAGATGACAGCCAGGTTTTGTGAGTGTGAAGTTTCAGGGCATAGCGTCCGTGTGGCCTTCTTGGCAAGCTACTGGTAGCTTCAGTGAACTTGTCTGCTGGGGAGATCCTAATCCTGGAACCCTTTCCCAAACACTAATGATACTTGGTAAAACACACACATGCATAGAGAAGGAGAAGGAATGTGTTCATGTGTCATTAGCCCAGGTTGTCCTAAAACTCACTATCCAAAGCCAGGCAGTAGTGGCACATGCCTTTAATCCCAGCACTCGGAAGGCAGAGATAGGTGGATCTCTGTGAGTTTGAAGCCAACTTGATCTACAGAGTGAGTTCCAGGACAGCTAGGGCTACACAAAGAAACACTGTCTTGCCTAGGCTAGTCTTGACTTCAGATCTTCCTATCTTGGCCCTTTTGGTGCTGGGGTTAAAGAGTGTGCTACCATTCCTGGCCTGGATATATTATTTTAACAAACCTTTTAAAGTTCCTGTCTGTATTTACCAGAAACAAAATACCCTGTGACTAGTAAGGCATTGGGCCTAACTCAGGAGATGAACATCTCTGATTTTGCAGAACTTTGGTTTCCACGGCCTCTTGCCAGGCCCTGAAGACCCTATCAAAATGGGGTGCAGGCTCAGAATCCTCATATAAAGCCAAGCACTATAAAGGGCACCACCCTCACGAACAAGCAAACTGTGATGCAGGGGCCCTCCCTTCAAAAGCAGACACACGATTGCCAGTGTAGCTCAATGGGAGAGCACCTGTCCAGCATTCGGGAGGTCTGGACTTGATCCCATTGAACAAACAAGAAAGGATACTGGAAGGAAGGAAGTATATACATAGTAATGTGTGTTGTGTGATAGCGTGCTTGTGTTCTGACAAATAAAGCTTGCTTGGAGTCAGAAGGCAGAACTAGCCACTAGTTAACCATAGAGGTCTGGAGGACTGTACAGAGAGACAGGAAGTGATCCTTCTGTTTTTTTTCTCTTATATTTCTGGTTTTTTGACCTGATCTCTGATGCCTGGTTTCTATTGATAAGATTAAGTAGACTTGGGGCTGGAGAGATGGCTCACAGATTAAGAGCACTGACTGCTCTTCCAGAGGTCCTGAGTTCAATTCCCAGCAACCACATGTTGGCTCACAAGCATCTATAATGAGATCTGGTGCCCCTTTCTGCCATGCAGGCATACATGCAGTCAGAACACTGTATACTAAATAAATAAAATCTTAAAAAAAAAGATAACTCTGTTCTGTCATGGTTTATCAATGATGACTAAAAGATATGCAAGAGGAAGTTGAACAAGTGTCTAAGAACAGAAACGATATGATCTATGTTTTGGAACGACATGAATCCATCCCTGCTTACTGAATTCTGTATAAAGAAGCACTCTGACTGCTAATCAGTGAGGCTTGGAGATTCTCCCAACCACCATGGCCTGGCTCAATCCTTCCCTTACCTACTCCTTGCCTCCTCTTTAGAACCTATCAATTGCCAGGTCTGCTACCCCCCCACCCCCGCAGAGGACCTCCGCTATATTGTGGTTTGAATGAAAATGGCCCCATAAGCTCATAGGGAGTGGCACTATTAGGAAGTGTGGCTTTGTTGGAGGAAGAGTGCTCCTGAGGGTAGATTTGGGGGTTTCAAATACTCAAGCCACGCCCAGTGTCTTTCTCTTCCTACTGCTTGCTGATCCAAATGTACCACTCACAGCTACCTTTCCAGCACAGTGTCATGCCATGGCATTTCCTGCAATGATGACAACAGACTAAACCCCTGAAACTGTAAGCCAGCCCCAGTGAAATGTTTTCCTTTATAAGAGTTGCCATGGTCACGGTGTCTCTTCACAGCAATAGAACATTAACTAAGACATCTTTGCATCACTCTGCACCCAGAAGAATCTGCTCTCACTGCTTGGTATATTGAAGAGACCTGAACTGGGAAGACAGAGGTATATTTTATTCCAAAAATTTGTTTTCTGTGGCGGTTTGAAAGAAAATGGCCCCCAAAAGGGAGTGGACCTATTAGGAAGTGTGGCCTTGTTGGAGGAAGTGTGTCACTGTGGAGGTGGACTTTGAGGACTCATATATGCCCAAGCCACACCCAGTGAGACAGACCACTTCCTGTTGCCTCTAAGTCAAGATGTAAAACTCTCAGCTACCTCTCCCCAGCACCATGTCTGCCAGTACACTGCCATGTCCCACCATGATGAGAATGGATTAAACCTCTGAAAATGTAAGCCACCCCAATGAAATGTTGCAATAGAAACCCTAACAAAGACAATTCCAGCTGCCAGCATTTGTTGACAAGTGAGAGTTTGTTGTGTACTTACAGACAGGAACTGAAGGAGTGTGAGAAGTGGTCAGAAGTGTGCAGTCTTACAGAGTACTGAAGGAGAACAGTGCCCCCCTCTGCTTCAGTCCTGCTACTCCCATGGCCATTTGTTCTCAGTGTCACCTCAGAGACTCACACCTGGGTTAGCTAGTTGCTTTGACAATGCAGAGAATTTTTATTCAGTGACTGTACTGTCCTCTCACACACCCTCACTCTGAAAAAAGGGGAGCCCAAGGAGGCAGTTATATAATAGCACACCATCATGACAACAGCTACACTCTTTTGGCACTTTTCTGAACCAGGCATGGTTCTAAGGTTTTGCTTATAAATCCCCTGGAGAGGCACTACTGATGTCCTGTTTTATTCTTCAGGATACTGAAGCAGCTTAACTGAGAATCAGAACAGATACAGGGCTCCGGCCTTCAGCCAGTGCAAACCTCAATGTGGTGTTTACCAGCTCAGAGACTTTACACTGCTCTGAGCCCTGACTCCTTATCCACAATGAGGATAAATAATAATACCTGTGGTGGTTTGAAAGAAAATGGCCCCCAAAGGGAGTGGCACTATGAGGAGGTATGGCCTTGTTGAAGTAAGTGTGGTCTTGTTGAAGGAAGTGTGTCATTGTGGGGTTGGGCTTTGAGATCTCCTTTGCTTAAGCCACACCAGTGATAACTAAGACTTGTATGCTCGAATGTTTCCCATGAGCATTCTCTCACCACCTTTGAAGGTGCTTAGTTGTGATGTGAAAAGTTAAGCCCCTTCAGTAACATTTCCAAAGACAATACCCACGCTGACATGTGCCACATGTGAGTATTCTTCTTCCAGAATGAGCCCCCCCCCCAAGCAAATGACGTTTTAGCTGATGAAATGACGTGCGGGCTATCATAAAAGATAGATCAGGCCATCACAAGTTGGAAGATGTACAGATCACACTGGGGCCACTCAAAATAGACTGAGAGGTTTTTAATTGTTAGCTTGTTGCCTCTTACATTTTAAAAAATCAAGTCACAGCTGTGTGTACTTTACACTGTGACCATCATAAGCAAATATAAAAAGAAGCAGTCACAACAGATGGACCGAGGGCTGCCCATCAGTCCAATACCATCTAACACAAAGGACCAATAAGAGACGTGTGAGTCAGTAAACAGAGTTTCAGCAGGGCCTGCACGCTAGCTTTTGCCAGTGCCTGTGTTTCGGTTTGGTTAAAGTTACAAAGCTGCTGGGTCTGTACCAGAGATCCAGAGAAGTGGAATTAGATTGTGTTGCCATGGAAACACCTATAACTAACATTACCAACTGATTTCAATCTTTTGGCTAGGAAGAAATCTGTGGTCTTTGGTTCCCACTTTCTCTGCCTTCACTTCCTCATCTCTCATTAACAAGTAGAAATACATCCTCTGCTTGGTACCAAAAAAAAAAAACAAAAAAACAAAAAAAAAACAAAAAAAAAAACCACCAACTGCTCAGCATTTTAAAGGATTGGTTCTAGGAATGGCAAATTTGGTCAGCTGGATTGACTGAATGTAAAGGATGCCGTATCAGAGCTCTTGACATCATCAGAAGAGTCACTACACTTCAGAAGTCTCCCAGTGGTGCTTGAGTGCCCTGCCCCCAGAAGATGTTGCAAACTGGACTGGTGGCTGTGGGAGCAGTGCCGAGTTGCACATTTGCTTTTGCTAAAAGCTCAGTTTTGCTTCATTTTCTGGTTGCAACAATTTGTGTTGGTTGTGTGCTGTGACCTACATTGCCTCCCTGTGAGTTATTTGTTTACATCAGAAACATCCCAACTGGTAGTTCACCTGGGAAAACAGGCCAAAGGTAAAAGACACCTGGACTTGGGTGGGGGAGCACCAAGTTTGGGGAGCCCTCCTCTTGGTTCCCTAGAGCTGAGGCATGTGCCCAGGTGAAGTACAAAGCTTTTCCAGGACAGCGCGGACCTCTTCTGGGTTGTAGTTCCAAGGTCCAGGTTTACCCTGCAAGAGAGATGGCAGGTGTCATCGGTTCCACCCTGCAGTGCATATCGTGTCTGAGGCTTGACTGAGAGGTCTGGACTAATGATATATCTATATGGGAGTTGTCCACGCAGGGCAGATGCAGCCTTGAGGTAGGTCATGCCACTCAGGGAAATTGTGGAGAGTGATACCAACATTTAACCTGAAGACTGGACAGGGGATTAGGAGGAAGGCTAGAGGCAAAATAACAGGTACAGGAGAAGGGGACCAAACTGTAAGCTCTTGCAACATCAGCCTTGAGTTCTTTCTGCTCTATAGAACCACCTCTGGCTCTCCACACCCTCTGCCCTCGTTCAGTCCTCTTCATCCCAATTTGGGTAACAATAGTACTTTCTGTCCTTGGTCCCTGTTCCCTTTGTTCTCTATCCATAGACACCAGTGATCCTCCTAAAGTACAGACCCAATCAGATTGCACATTTCCTGTTTAAAACCTTCCTGTGGCTCTTCTTGACCTTTGGAGGAAGATGAAATTCCCTGGTCCAGAACCAGACCCTGGTTGTCTAAATGCTTAATTCCCTCCCTCCTCATGCCTTGCCCTACTGTGCCTCACACCTTACCCAATTGCTTCCAATATTCTCAACAAGTCTGCCTCCTCGAAATGGCTTGACTGACTCCTTGCTGTTCAAGGCACAAGCTGTCCAGATCCTCGGAAAAGCCTGCCCTTCCCCCAGAAGCCGGAAACCTGACATCTGAGAGCCCGATCAGTTCTGACACCCACGCTTTCATTCCCGTGTTGTCCTCAACAGCTTCGGTGTTCTAACAGCAGAATTGAATTGTTGGGGACTCAGAGACTTGGCTCATAAAGTGAAATATTTACTCTCTGGCTCATCAGTAGAAAACCTTCACTAACCCCTGCTCTGGAATCTTACAGCATGTGGCTCCCTGTTACCCACTCCCCTCTCTCTTCCCATTCTCTATATAGAAAGGGCTGGGTGTATGAACTCCAGAGCAAGTGCTCATGGAGTTGAAAAGAAGGTGTGAGAACCCCTGAAGCTGGAGTTACAAGTGGTTGTGAGCTGCCTGACATGGGAGCCGGGAACTGAACTCAGGTCCCCTGGAAGAGCAGACAAGTTCTTAATTGCTGAGCCATCTTTCCAGCTATAACCTTGTTTTTTGAGACAGGGACTCTCACTGGTCTGGGGCTTACCAATTAGGTTAGACTCCCTGGCCACGGAGCCCCAAGGATCTGCCTGTCTTCAATCTTGGCATCCCAGTAGCGATAGCTGTGTGCTGGGATTAAAGGCATTTGCCTCTGCCACCACCACTAGTAAGAATATCTGTATGAGAGTTATCTGTCAATCCAGGGCAGTTTCCACCTGCCTGTTTCTAATCCCTAGCACTGGGATTGCAGATGCATGCCACTGAGCTGAGCTTTATCACATGGGTTCAGGGTACCAAATTCAGGTCCCTGTGCTTGTGTGGCAAGCTCTTTAATGGCTGATCCATCTTTCCATCTCAACTGCTCTTGTTTGCATCTTTCGTAGCCTCTAGACTATGGATACCTTTGATGTAAGCCAGGGGTCATTCTGTATTTCTTGTACCTGCACGGGGCCTACCTAGGGTAGAGACTCAGTGCCCAGCTTGCCTCAATAGTATCATCTTAAGATGAGGGCTCTCCAGGTGTGGTGGCACATGCCTTTAATCCCAGCACTTGGGGGGGCAGAGGCAGAGACAGGTGGATCTCTGTGAGTTCGAGGCCAGCCTGGTCTACAGAGTGAGTTCTAAGACAGCCAGGGCCACACAAAGAAACCCTATCTAAAAAAGAGAGAGAGAGAGAGAGAGAGAGAGAGAGAGAGAGAGAGATGAGGTCTCAGGGAGAAGGGAAGATGGGTCTTCTACTGTGACCCTTGCACCCTGGGGCTCCAGCTGTAGGTTATTCTTTGTTTTACTAGCAGGCTGTAGAACCAGCTTGTCATCTATGTGACTAAGTATCCATAGTCTGTTCTCAAGGTTTGAAATTCCTTCAGAACTACACAACTTAGCTTCTACCCTCTGGGTAGGCTAATTGTGTCTGATGGGTCATGGCTATGATTACCCTCTTTACTTAACCAGACAGAAACCTTGAGGGGGAAACAGTTGCTATGAAGCGGGCCTGACTCAGTTTCCAAGTTTCATTTTCCTGTTTCATTTCTAGCTTCTAGTCACCAAGTCCTTCTCAGCAGTGGCAGCTTCAGAGCCATCCTCTTCTGCTTGCCTGGTGACCTTGGGCAAGCTAACCCTTCTCTGAGACTCGTGTATAAAACAGAAACATTTTTCCCACTGAGATGGCTCAGGGGGTAAATGTGCCTTTGGTCAAGCCAGATGGCCTGAGTTTGATTGTTAAGACTCACCTGGTGAAAGGAGAAACTGACCCCCTACAGGTTATAATCTGACCCCCCCCCCCCCCCCCCCCCGGCATGCATGTACCTTCTTTCACACATGTAAAATAAGTAAAAAAATGTAATTTAAAAAATTAAAAATAAAGGCTGGGCATGGTGTGCACACTTTTAATCCCAGCATTTAGGAGGCAGAGACAGGTGGATCTCTGTGAGTTCAAGGTCAGCCTGGTCTACAGAGTGAGTTCCAGGACAGCTGGAGCTATGTAGAGAGACCTTGTCTCAAATAAATAAATAAATAATAAAAAAAAACTAAACAACAAGAGGAGATAAGGACTAATCCAGACTCTGGATGCTGAGGCAGCCAGGAGGTTGCAGCTCTAGTGAAATGCCGGCATGTTCACGGGCACACTTCACACTGCACTGGGTGGAGACCAATCTCATTTTGCAGAAGAGAAGACCGGAAGGCTTTGAGATGAAAAGACTCGCCCAGATTACGTGGTGAGAAGTACTGGAATACAGTTCTCCCTGGGCTGACATCCTCTTCTGCCCCTGTGACACCAACCCCTTGCCCTTCCCCAGACCTCTGGCCTCAGGTCACCACCTTGTAGCAGATCCTGCCCTCCTGTATCACGTAGAGCCTCTCAGGCAGAGCTGCGTAGAGCTGGCTGCTCTGGTTCTGCATTGTGTCTACCACCACAGGGCACTGGGGATTCCTGGCCAGCAGCAGGTGTGCTGCCTGCAGGCGGTCCTGGAGGCTCCGGTGCTGCCTGATGTCCACGTTGTTCTTAAAAGCCCAGCCATCTGCAAGAGGAAGGTTAGGCTGCAGTCCAGTAGACGTGACTTTCTGTTCCCGTGGTCTAAGTCCCACCTACTTTGAACTGAATAAGTCCCACCTACTCTTAACAGAAAGCTCTGCGTAGTAGCACCCTCTTAGAAACTGGTTCCTGTTAGAGGTAAAAATGTAAGGCTACACAGGGGTTACCAGAAATTGAGTGCTACCTGGTAGGCCTTGGGTCTTCAATGAGACATAGCCAGACAAGGTGTTTCTTGATCGTTAGTCTACTTTTGAGCCACTGGGAGCTTTGTTAGAGGAAAAGTCTGTCTGGGGGAGGGCAGTGAGAGTGTAGCCCATTCCCAGGATGCCAAGGTTGCTGGTACCTCAACTGCATTTAGGGGAAGAGGTCAGAGTGAAAGGTTCAGGCATTATGCTGGCCTGCCCCTGTTACCTAGTGGAACAGGCAATACCCTGGTCAGCCCAAGATTCCATGGGAACTAAGTCTGAACGCAGGTGCAGAGGACCCCTTTAAAAGACAAGTCCCTGCCCATTTACGCTCTCTGTTCCCTCTCTCTGTTTCCCCCGCTCTGTTTCCTCTCAGCTTCCTTTCTACTCTCTCTCTCTCACCTATGTGCTCTCTCTATGGCGACCGGCCATGGCGGTCAGCCATTTACCCCTGTTCTTCTTCTTAGTCTCCCTCCTCTGCCGGGCCTTATAATAAACTTATAGTCTTATGTCTCATATCTTAGCATTTCTCTTTTCTTTTTAAACAAAAGAATAACACAAAGCAGTGGTTATCCAGGTGTGTGGTCCCTCTGGGAGCTTGTTAGTCACTGGGATTCCCAGTGCTGCTCTAGGTCATAGAGGAATGAGCTCTAAAGTGTGTGTTTTCACAGCCTTCTTTATGGCTCTAATGTACAAGACAGTTTAAGAACTACTGCTCTTAGTGACTGAGCAGTGGTGGTTCATGCCTTTAGTACCAGCAATGGAGGCAGAGGCAGGGTGGTGTCTGTAGTTTTACGTATATGTAAACCTTTCCATAATAGATATTTTTAGGGCTAGAGAGATAGCTCAGAGGTTAAGAGCACTGACTGCTCTTCCAGAGGTCCTGAGTTCAATTCCCAGCAACCACATGGTGGCTCACGACCATCCTTATGAGATCTGGTGCCCTCTTCTGGTGTGCAGATATACATGGAAGCAGAATGTTATATACATAATAAATAAATAAATAAATAAAATCTTTTAAAAAATTTAAAAAATAGGTATTTTTAAAGATCAGCTTAGGCGGCAGGAGCTCAAGCACAAGGCACAGTGAGTCTCTCTGTGAGAAGTAGGCCCTGGGCAGTCCACCGAGATCTGTAATCTCCATAGCTGGGAAGAGACAGGGCATTGATAGCCCCTGAGATGACCCACACACTCATTACCCCATGATATTTTAAGTTGTCCCCCAAATGTGATGAGAACAGAAACTTCCTCGGGTAAAAGCTATCCTATAACAGTGTTCCTCTGAGTGTGGTCCTCACACCAGAGCCAGCATCACCACCTAGACCTCAACCCAGGCCTGTGAAGGCATCTGCTTTAGCAGGACCCCCCAGGAGCATGGGGGCTCACCAAAGTTTGGTGAGCTACAATCCAGACAGGCCATATTGTCTCTTTGATCTTAGGCTATATCCTGACAAATAGCTATAGGGAAGCCATTTTCATTTGTGACACATCGGGTCTCGAAAGCAGACTGTGGAGGAAGAGGCAGCGTGAAAGCCAGAGCAGGGCTTCTCTGGTTCTCCCACATTTCCCTCCCCCACCCCCAACTGTGAGACAGACTTGGAGGATGGGAGAAAGAAGAGGGTGGGAGGAGTAGAGGGAAGAGACTTTGTACCTGTCGCATGAGCTTCTTCAATGTAAATAACGAGGAAATCTGCTGTGGAGGCAAAGTCGTCTACAAGTCTCTTGAATTGGTCGAATTTGAAAAGAAATGAAGGTCAGGTACAGCTGCCAAAATTCAACACCAGTGGCCTGTTTCCTGCAACAGAAGAACTGTCAGGAGCCACGACTTGCATAGCTTTCTTCTGCATGTAACATCTTCCCTCCTGAATTCAAATCTGTTCCTTCCGTCGCTGTAGGATGAGTCCTGGGCTCAGTGTAGAGCCCAAGCCGAGAAGCGTGGCTAGTGGGGGCTAAGGCTGACTTTTGCCCCTGGAACCAGAGATTTTTATTAGGGACTCAATGACCAATGCAGATGCTAAATGGTAATTAAAATAATAGAAGGATCCCTTCCTCTGAGACTGTAGTTTATGAGGTAGGCAGACGTCCGTCCTCTGTGGGATGTGATTGCTAATATTCAAGGTCTCACTATGTAGCACTGTCATGGAACTCACCATGTAGACCAGGCTGGCATTGAACTCACAGAGATCCGCCTCTATGTGTGCACAACCAAGCCTGGAAATTCTCTTTTATTCTCACAAAGCATCTGAAGTATGGACCTGCTTCAGCACCACACACAGCAGGCCAGCAGTGGAGTTCAAATGAACCACTGGCTTCTGGACTTGAGTCACGGTTCTTTCTATGAAAAGTACCTCAGTTTCCTCGTACACAATGGACATGATTGCACATACTGTACAGGGGGCTGGAACAATGGCTCAGCAGTTTAGAGCTGATCTTGCACAGGTGCTGCTCTCGGCACCCACACTAGGTGGTTCACAACCACCTGTAATTCCAGTTCCAGGGGATCAGATGCCCTCTTCTGACCGGTCTTTGCAGCACCAGGCACACAGGTGGTGGACATACATGCACACAGGCACTCACACATACAATAAAAAATAAATCCTAATAGAGTTCCTGGCACAAACTAGATGCTCAATAAATGTACACTATTTCAAGAAGCTTGTATCTACTTCTTGAGCTCAAATAGTGAAACAGTGTAGAGGGTGTTTCAAAGGGGACAGGGGTGGGACCTGCTGGAAAATGAAATCTTCAAAAATGAAGCGGATGCTGCTAAATTTGCTAAGTACAGTCCTCATGCCTTCTGTGGTCTTTCTCATCATCTGGCATGGTGTTTTAGGTGGCTGCTGTTTAATGCCATACTCCCTTAAGCACAGGATATTGGGAGGGTGAGAGCAGGCCCTTGTAGTCACCCTGCAGCCGCATAGCTCAGTGGGCTTGTGCATATACCTCCCTCCCATCTCCTCCAGACCAAAACACTCTCAGCCTGGAGCATAGAAACTGAGGCAGAAGCTTCCCCTCCTGCCTGCCTGACCTTCCTCCAACTGGGTATTACCTCTTCTATTTCTGGGTGTTCCATGGGGAAGAGGCTGACTGACAAGGAGACTTTCCCTCTGAGTCTCTCCTAGTCACTTGCCAAATCTCAAGATGTCAATGCCAGCTCATGATGGGGACAGGACCCTGCCATGAGACACTGTGGGATGCCCACACTAGATCCTGTCTTTCCTGTTCAGTGATCTTGCCCATTCTGGGACAGAAGGTGACAGTAGTCACTGTGGGAGCAGGAAAGCACACCCAGCAATAGAAGAGTGAGTCTCAGAGGACATGTCTCAGACATCCAGAAAAAGGCTGTACTTGTGTGGACTGAGGATCCAGGCCCTCAGAGCTCATCCATTGTCCCACAAGGCTTAACAACTAAATGTGGACCCAAGGATGAAAACATGGCTGGACATAATAGTCCAAGCACGTAGTTCCATAACTGGGGAGACCGAGGCAGGTGATTGCTGTGAGTTTGAGACCCATAAAGTAGTGAGACCCTGTCTCACAACCTCACCCTCCTAAAAGGTGAAATCATGAGGAATTTCAAACTAGCTACTGCAGAATACAAATCCCCAAGTGTGAGGCCTTCTGAGTGTGGGACCCTGTGGGAGTCCCTAGTCTCAAACCCATGAAGCCAGCTCTAGGTAAGAGCATTCTCTAATTACTCAGCCAAGGCTAAGGAAAGCCCTGGGGAGCTACTACTATACCCTGAGGTTTCTATGGTTAATGCTGAGCCCTGTTGAGCCCTGTCACACATTGGAGGCTGGCTGGCCCTGCACCGTGACACGATCTATTTGAGCTGCCACATCTCCCAAGCTGTTCCTTGCCCCTGAAGGGTTCCTACTCACTTCCCCATTTTGAGCACACTTCTCATTCTACCTAGAAGCATTTATTCAGAATTTACAGTATGCCAGGCTCACCCACCACAGGCAGATGCCAGTGCAGAAGGAGGACACCAGGAGTCTGCCCCCATGTACGGTAAGGTTTGTTTAGCAAGGACAATGACCACAAGCAGATAAACAGTAGACAAGGGTTGTGAAACTGTGATAAGTGTTTGGAAAGAGATCATAAAGGAATGGCTCGCTGCAGACAGGTGGAGCAGGCAGGGCCTCTGGGGATCTGCCACTCAACCTGAGCGGTGAAAGACAGGAACAAACCAGCCCTGGGGAATGGAAGAAAGGGCACTCCAGGCAAAGTGAGTCAGTGGACAAAGTCCTCAAACGGGGACAGAGCCCAGTTTCTTTAAGGACCTGCAAGACCACTGTCTGGAACGGGGCAGGGAGTACCAAGGGTAGTGTTGGCTTAGTCTGCAATGGGCCAGATCAGTAAGTGCTGGGTTTATTTTAGCTGTGTTGGGAAGACCTGGCTCTATAAAGCAAGGGGGGGGGTGGGTGTATGCTATAATTCCTGCCTGCCTGGTTCCTTAATCTCTCTTCTTGTTTGGAATTCCTTATTCTGTGAATGATTGATGAGACAGTATACCCAGCTTTGCTATGTGGAAGGCAGAAGAAGCAGGTATGCCCTCTGTCCCAGCAACTGGGGGCAGACAGCACTCCCCATCTAGGTCCTTGATTCCAGAGTCACTAAGATAGAAGAACTCATCCACAGCCTGGTGGTACCTTGGGGATGGTGATGGACATCCTGATCATGGTGACTGCAAGATCTGGTCTAAGTGTTGATGTTAAAAGGCACCCCATACCCATCTCCAGAGGCTTTAGTTCTGGGAAGCCCAAACTCCTTCTCATATGTTCCTTGGCACTTGTGTGAGCATGTTCTCTCTCTCTCTCTCTCTCTCTCTCTCTCTCTTTCTCTCTCTCTCTCTCTCTCTCTCTCTCTCTCTCTCTCTCTCTGTGTGTGTGTGTGTGTGTGTGTGTGTGTGTGTGTGTGTAGGTAGGTAGGTATATAGGTGCCTGTGTGGAGGTCAGAAGATGTCAACTTGCAAGATTGCAAGAGTCTCTTCTTTTTTGCCACCACATGGGTCCTGGGGATTGAACTCAGGTTGTCTGACTTGGCTACAGATGCTTTTACCCACTGAACCATTTTTCCATCCCACAGGTTGTTCTCTGACCTCTACACATGCATCATGGCACACGTGTGAAACACTTGTGGCCACACACATGTGCATATATACACACATGCATATAAAAATAAAATATGTAATTAACTTTTTTTGGTTTTCCAAGGCAAGGTTTCTATATATAACAGCCCTGGCTGCCCTGGAACTCACTCTGTAGACCAGGCTGTCCTAAAACTCACAGAGATTCACCTGCCTCTGCCTCCTGAGTGCTGTAATTAAAGGCATGTACTACCACCATCCGGTGTAATAAAATTTTTAAAAGGAGATCAGAGTGAAGTCTGTTGCTTGCAGAAACACCAAGCTTCATGTAGCAATCAGATTCACACTTGAAAGGCACACTAGCTGTTGTATGGAGAAAAGACAGAGTGGGGATGGTGGGGGGGGGGGCAGCAGCTGGATGCACTGGGAAGTAGGCTCCTCAGCTAATGCACAGGCAGGGGGCAGGCAGAACTGAAGGGCATGCTGCTAGATGGTGACAGAGGGCCCCTCAGCTGGCTTGTGGTTCATGTTATCAGCTACACATCTTCCTTTCCGGTACAGGATTTGAGGCAGCTTGCACATAAGTTAAAATAGCAAATAGTAACCAAGGAAAGAGACCACGGCCGCCTAAGGAGTGTAGAACAGGAGAAGAAATGGGGCAAAGAGGCTCTCAGGTGCTATGTGCCTTTTGAAATTCAGCTTAGTTTTTGGCAATGCTGGAGATCGAACTCAAGGCCTCAAATGTGCTAGGCAAGAGTTCTGCTACTGAGCTGTGTCCCCGGCTACCGTGCAATCCTTATAACAGAGCTGTACATTTGACTTAGAGTGTTCGAGTAGTCAAGTAAAAGGAGAAGCACAGTAGTTATAATTTCCTAATATGGCGCCAGCGAGATAGCTCAGAATTAAGGGTGGTTGCTGCTAAGCCTGACGACTTCAGTTTGATTCCAGAGTCCACATGGTGAAGGAGAGAACCTGCTCCTTTGTTGTCCTCTGACCTCCACATGTGGTTTGTGCATGGGCACATGTAACATACACAGGATAGATAGGTAGGTAGGTAGATAGATAGATAGATAGATAGATAGATAAATAAATAAATAAAGTCCTAAATTCTCGGTCTTCAGTGTGAGGGGTAGACACGCTGGTTTCTCTGCAGACACAAAGCCCTCCTTGTCTGGTTTACAGACTGTTTTCCCAGGTGGCCCTGGGAAGTTCCAGAGCAGGGCCTTCTCCGTCCCTGATGGTTGATTTCATGATGATTCCTCACCACATGACAGGGAGGCCCGGGCCTTAGCAGGGGAGGTTCTGAGGCCAGTCATCGACAAGTGGCCAGTCACTGGACTGTGGTAACTCTAGAGAGCCACTCTTCAGACAAGAAAAGTGCTTTCAGGTCAGGACCAGCTCAAAATGCTAGCCATCTGGAATTTTGCTTTTTTTTTTCCTTTTTTAAAAATTTAAATTAGAAACAAGCTTACTTTACATGTCAATCCCAGTTCCCTCTCTCTCCCCTCCTCCCCTGCCCCCCACCGACCCCCTAGCCCATCCTCTTTCTGCTCCCAAGGGAGGGCGAGGCCTTCCATGGGGGATCTTAAGTCTGTCACATAATTTGGAGCAGGGCCTATACCCTCCCCCTATGTCTACACTGAGAGAGTATCCCTCTATGTGGAGTGGGCTCCCAAAGTCAATTCGTGTACTAGGGATAAATACTGATCCGCTACCAGAGGCCCCATAGTTTAACCAGACCTCCAAACTGACACCCATTTTCAGGGGGTCTGGAACAGTCCTATGCTGGCTCCCCAGCTATCAGTCTGGGGTTCATGAGCTCCCCCTTGTTCAGGTCAGCTGTTTCTGTGGGTTTCTTTAGCCTGATCTTGACCCCTTTGCTCATCACTCCTCCCTCTCCGTAACTGGATTCAAGAGTTCAACTCAGTGTTTAGCTGTGGGTGTCTGCTTCTGCTTCCATTAGCTTCTGGATGAAGGCTCTAGGATGGCAAATAAGGTAGTCATCAACCTCATTATTGGAGAAGGGCATTTAAGGTAGCCTCTTGACTATTGCTTAGATTGTTAGTTGGAGTCAACCTTGTAGATCTCTATACATTTCCCCAGTGCCAGATTTCTCTTTAAACCTATAATGGCTCCCTCTATCTGGATGAAGGCTCTAGGATGGCAAATAAGGTAGTCATCAACCTCATTATTGGAGAAGGGCATTTAAGGTAGCCTCTTGACTATTGCTTAGATTGTTAGTTGGAGTCAACCTTGTAGATCTCTATACATTTCCCCAGTGCCAGATTTCTCTTTAAACCTATAATGGCTCCCTCTATTATGGTATCTCTTTTCTTGCTTTTAATGGGCAAAAATCCAACAGGCCCTAGAATGGACAGGACCATATGTTTACTTAAGTAGAGAGTGTCTGTCATGGTGATGAGTAGCCAGGGTAAATTCTGCACTTAGTGCCCTGTCGACCTGACAACAGAGAGAAAAAGGATGGGTGCTCATAGCTGGCACCCTGCTAGTGTCCACAGGCCACAGTCCACATTGTGAGGGTGTCAGGTAAGGACTCGAAGTTAGGTTTGCTCTGTTGCATAAATAGGAAACAGTTCTAGAGTGCAGCTGGACTGGGCTCAGCTCACAATCCCCCACCCCCCTGGCCAGGATGTGAGCCTCTGGCCCAGGCAGTCTTCACAGAGAAGCCCATTTTCTCATTACTCGGCGAGGCCTCCTCTGTGCACTTGGAGAGACTACAGAACCATTTACTCCGTGTATGTGTGTGATGCTCAGGAGTGTGCATACTGTGCGTGTGAGTCCTTGTTCAGGGCCATGCAGAAGACTGGAGATGGCCAAGGATCTTCCCGTGGCCCTGGTGCCCCATTCAACAGTAAAAAGCAGGCCAGAAGCACAGCTCTTGTTCCCACTCCACTGAGAGTTCACTGTATGACCTGAACGGGTTCTTGACAACTCCCTTCCTTTGTATCTCTAACAGTGAAGGGGTTGGTTAGATTAGATTTCCGTAAGCATGCTTCCTGGCCTCCTGGTCTGTGACTGGAAAAATGAGTTCAGTGTTACACCCAAAGCTTCCTTCAGAATGTTTCAAAGGCCTGGGGGTTTCTGAAGAGTTATGGGATGTCTTTGTAGTTAATGACTCTATTTGGAAATCCTTCCACAAACTGACCAATGCCTTCAGGAGTGTGTGTACCTGTGGGCAGGAGACAGGACATTCTTCCACTCTGGTCCCTGATGACCTCAGCGGTTTCTGTACCTGGGAACTCAGCTGCCCCTCCCATCTGTCCTGTGCTGTTCCCTGCATTCTTGCCTTCATCTGTCCCACAGCTCCAGGGCTGCTAAGCTGTCAGCTCCCCAGTGTCCTCCCAGTAGTGTTCCCTGAGTCATTCAGGCATGGGTGCCTTCTCCAGAACCTTCTCTTACACAGAACCCCATCTCCTCTCCCATTCTCTCACTTCCTGTGGTGTGCCAGGGCAGAGGCCAGTGACATTCATGTCTGTTTCACCAATGCCAGTGCCTTCAGGGCATACTGGGTCAATGTGCTGAAATCAACCCTATTTTATAAAGAAGGTTAGGTGGTCTATCTCAGCCTCTCACATAGTTTGCTCTCTGATACAGCAGCAGGGATCAGGGCCAAACTGTACACTCCTTTTGCTTTTCTTTAAAAGGGTTTAGTGGGATGGAGAGATACCTCAAAGTTTAAGAGCTCTGGCTTCTCTTCCAGAGGTCCTGAATTCAATTCCCAGCAACTATATGGTGGCTCACAACCATCTATATTGAAATCCGGTGCCCTCTTCTGGCATGCAGGGATACATACAGACAGAACACTGTATACATAAGAAATAAATCTTTAAAAAAGAACATAGGGGAAAAAGGGTTTTTTTTTTTTTTTGTGTGTGTGTGTGTGTGTGTACACGTGTGTCCAGGTTTCTGCAGAGACCAGAAGAAGGAGGTGGATCCCATGGAGCTGGAGTTACAGGCAGTTGTGAACTGCCCAACATGAGGGCTGGGAACCCAACTCAGGCTTTCTAGAAGAGCAGGGACCATTCTCAATCACTGAGTCATCTCTCCAGTTCACTACATTCCACTTTCTTTATTTTAATGAGGGTCTCATGTAGCCCAGGCTGGCCTACAGCTCAAGGTAGCACCACCTTGAACTTCTGATCCTCTGGCCTCTCCTTCCAGAGTTCTAGAAATTACGGGCACCTGTCACCAGGCCTGACTTGTTCTTATTTCTGTACTGAGGATCAAAGTCAGGGTCTTGAATATGCTAGGCAAGCACTCCACCACTGAGCCATGTCCCCAGACAGTAGTTTTTGATACAGTTCTTATCATATACCCCAGATTGTCTCTGAACTCCAGCCCTACTGCCTCTGCTTCTCTGGTGCTGGACAACAGGTATTTGCCACTATGCCTGGAAAAATAAACTCTTTTTAACAGAGAGTGGACAGTTAACTGATACAGTGGATTCTGTGTAGTGGCCCCGAGGCAGAGTGACTTCCAGGGAACTGATCTTCAGATGGACACCCAGCACATTGTTCTGTTCCTCCAGTGTCTAGCACTGAGAAATGGGAGGAAGAAGTCTGATTGGCTACTCCCTCAGCCAGCCAGTCAGCTCAGTCTCTCAGTTCTCTCCATTCCTTTTCTAGGACAAGGAGACACAGTCAGGTCTACATTTCCCAAAGGGTGGTGTTGGGAACCAGCCGGCTGCTCAAAGGTTTTCCTTGGAAAGAGAGGAGTGTGTGGGGGTGTGGGCTTATTTTGCAGATCTGCTTTTAAGCCTCAGAGCCTCTCTGGACCTGTCGCAGACCCCCTTGTCTCATGGCATCCCAGGAGCTGCCACAGGATATGGGGATTTCCACGGTAGTTTGCCCAGGAATTGTATGTTGTGAATCTTTTCCGAGGGGCTTGGGTCCCAAAGAACATGCTTTGAAAAGCTCTGGGTTATCCCTCAGTCTTGGAGCCTAGGGGCTTAACTGAGTCAGACCCAGCTCTTTCCCGGGGAACTCTGCTGGTGGGGAGCGGGGTGATGGGAGCTGAGTGGGTAGGAAGAAGCAGTTCTTTGAGGGGCGGGGCGAGGCGAGTAGGGAAGCCTGGGTCCAGCAGGGAGAGAGCATCTCCCTCAGTGTGGAGGTCTGAGGTGGTGTCTCAGAGGACAAGGCATGAGAGCTGGGCCCTGGTGCATAGAGAAACGTGGCTGTCCACACAAAAGGGTGTTCCAAATCATCACAGATTGTTAGCGAAGGGACATAGAAGCCAAGCCCAGGTGGGCAAAGCCCCACATTGGTCTAATGGAGTTAGCATGAAGGAATCCTGGAAATAACGTTCTAATAACATTCTAAGCTTGACGGGGTGGGGGAGGACGCGGGGGAGGGGGCAATGAACACCAGTCTGACCCCAAGCTCCTCTGAATGAGTGATGCTGCAGGGCGCTAAGAACAAGTGATTTGGCAGCCATCGAGTGGAGCCTGAAAAGAGTAAGGAGCTCGAGTAAAGAGTTCTTCCAGGGAGAGGAGGCGTGAGGACTAGTTAGGGCTTCCAGAACCCGAACAGACTATATGGTGGACAGGGAAGAGAGTCCTTCTACTGCTATTGTGTGCCCACATCAGACACTGGGGCACTATAGAGGGTTCCCTGCTGTGGAATTTATAGGATAGTAAGGGTGGCAGGTGAAACTTAGGTACCCACTCACAACTGCAAACCCTGAGTGTGGAGAAAGCAAAGTTTAGGATGCTAACTGACAATAACAAGGGTAACCTGGGGAAGTTGGGACTGGCTTCTTGCAGGAAGTGGCACTGTATGTCAGACTAAAGGCTGAGAAGGATTTCATCAGCTAAAAAAGGAGCTGCCTACATCCAGGGGCTGGAAAGCCAGAGTGGATGGCCTTTGATATGAACCCTGGAGAGATGCCAGCCAAGAGAAAACACCTCAGAGAATCCCACCACTAAGCAGGAGGACAAGCCCCACGGAAGCAGCCTGAGCAATGACAGAAAATTTAAAGTTTTCCGATTCACATCTCCACCCGACCTGCCCCCACTGCTCCAAGCCCCTGAGCCGAAGCAACCTGCTGACCTTGAATGAAATCCCAGATGTTGCACTTCTGTCCTGAGAGGCGGACCACCGTGCAGTTGGGGGCCAGGCCCCCATACTCAGCCCTGTCCTCCAATCTCTGCCACCGGACCTTCAGGACGAACCAGAAGTACTGGATGCTGAAGAAGGTCGGGACCCAGTTGTCGGGGGAGAATAGGGGGTTCCTGGCCATGCCGGTCTTTTGGCCCATGGCCAGGATGTTCTGCTTGGCTCTCTCTGGGAACAGCATCATAAACACCTTGCCCACAGCCACCTCCACAGCTACTTGCAAGAATATCCCTAGCCGCTTCAGCCATAGCCCAAGCCAGGACAGCCCCATCTCAGCAAGGGCTAGAACTGACTCTGAGGCGGACGGACAGACAGGGAGGCCCCAGCCAGACAACACTGGGCGGAGCTGGACAAAGGTGCAGGGCACAGCAGCCAACCCTGACAAGAGGACTATGCCAGACAGGACAGCAGGTGTGTTTGCCTTGCTGTCAATTGGATGGAAAATTCCTAACCACATGCACAGAGGTCTCGTTTAGTTATTATCTTCCCAGATTCTTTGTTACCTTTTGAGAGATGCTTGGTTTCTCTCTGATTAATTTTTTTTCTTTTACTAACACTTGAAAAGATCACACTGAAAGGGATCTTGTTAAGTCATAATGAATGCCATTATTTTGTAAAAATTAGTATTATATAATAAAATAATGCAATCTTGTTTTAAATAAATGTATTTTATGTGCATTGGTGTGAAGGTGTCAGATTCCCTAGAATTAGAGTCATAAACAGTTGTGAGCTGTCATGTGGGTGCTAGGAATTGAACCCTGGTTGCCTGGAAGAACAGCCAGTGCTCTTAACTGCTGAGTCATCTCTTCAGCCCCCTTAACAAAAAGGGACCCTATTAAAAGATCTCTGGCTGCTGTAGTGGCACATACCTTTAATTACAGCATTCAGGAGGCTGAGGCAGATGGATCTCTGTGAGTTTGAGAGCAGCCTGATCTACATAGTGAGCTCTAGGCCAGCCAGGGCTGTGTAGTGAGACCCTGTCTTGAAGAAGAAGAAAAAAGAAGTGGGAAAGGAAGGAAGGGAAAGAGAAGAAAAACCAACCTATTGCAAATGACTAGCTTTCAATGTTAGCTATCTTCTACATTTTTTGAAGATTCGTTTGTTTTATTTTATGTGTATGAGTGTTTTACTTGAGTGCATATCTGTGCACCGTGTGCATACCTGGTTCCTGAGGAGCTCAGAAGAGAGTGTAGAATCCTCTAGAACTGGAGTTTTGGATGGTTGACATGTGGGTACTGGGAGTAGAACCCAGGTCCTCTGCAGGAACAACAAATGTTCTTAACCACTTAGTCATCTCTCCAGTCCCTTCGTGTGTGTGTGTGTGTGTGTGTGTGTGTGTGTGTGTGTGTGGGTGTGTGTGTGTGTAATATAAAAGATGCTGGGATTATGCTAGCCAGACATATACAAATCCTGTGTTGTATTCCCAGAACTACAAAATAAAATAAAGCAAATAAAATTAGGTTCTTTTGCAGGGCGGTGGTGGCGCACACCTTTAGTCCCATTACTCGGGAGGCAGAGGTAGGCAGATCTCTGTGAGTTTGAGACCAGCCTGGTCTACAAGAGCTGGTTCCAGGACAGCCTCCAAAGCCACAGAAAAACCCTGTCTCGAAAAACCAAACCAAAACAACAACAATAACAACAAAAAATTGGGTTCTTTCAATCATGAAAATTAGTTTTCTCAGTGACATTTATAGTGTGTGGCTGAATATTTCTGGAGACAGAGCCCTCTGGAGAGGGTGTGGCCTGGACACCCCCATAGCCCTTAATTCCATGTAGTTAGAATCATAGTTTGTAGAATTTTCTGGTTGCCTTCTTTTACTTAGTAGTATTCATTTAAGTTTCTTGACTTGATAGCTGATTGAAAGTGGTGAATAATTCCCCATTGTCTGGCTCTACCAAACTTAACTCCATTTATCAAGTGGGGAACATCTTGGTTGCTCCTAAGATCATAGACAAAGCAGACACAAACATCATATACAGATGAAGGCAGTTTGTCATCTCATTTGGACCACCACTGGGTGAGACTGATGCTTTGTATAGTAGAGGGTGCTTGGTTTTGTAAGTTTGTGCCCCACTGTCTTGCAACATCGTATCAGGGATAGTTTACATGCTCCCAGCAGTGAGCCAGATTCCATATCCGTGTTGCTTCATGCCTTTGCCAGTGTTAGATGTTGTCAGTCTTTTGGATTTTTGCTATTCTAGTATCTGTGCACCAGCATCTATCTCATTACAGTTTGCACCTCTTCGATGACAATAGATCAATTAATAATAGATAAATTATATCCTGATAAACCCACTGCAAGTCAAAGATGTCAAAACTTGAAAATGTCTCAGAGCATGGTGGCACACATCTTTAATCCCAGCACTCAGAAGGCTGAGGTAGGCAGATCTCTGAGTTAAGGCCAGCCTGGTCTATAGAACAAGTATCAGGATAGCAAGGGCTACACAGAGAAACACTGTCTCCAAACAAACAATCAATCTATCAAACACAATAGTAGCATATCACTTAAAAATCAAATTGCATTCATATGTTGGGGGGGGAGGCGGCAGGGGCCATGAATCCTGTAACATGTATAGAGGAAAACTTTGACAGTCACTTCTCTCTTTCTACCATGTGGGTCCCAGGGATCGAACTCGGGTCATTGTGCTTGGTGGCAAACTCACCTGTACACCTTGGCACCACAGTGAAGTTAAAACCCCCAAGCAGAGCATTGAAAGTTCAGCAATATCTTTACTCCGGGATGATGTACCAACACAGCTTTTGATTTTTATTTGTGGTGCTGGTGACTGAACTGAGGGTCTTGTGCATCCTGGGTGAGTTCCACCACCCAGTTCCACCCACAGCCCCATCTTCTGCCCATTTTGAAGTCAGGTGTCCATTTTCTTGTTGAGTCTTAAGAGTCCTTTGAATGTTTTGTGTAAGATTCTTTTTCAGATATGTCTTTTGCAAATGCCTTTGCCAAGTCGAGGTTCTCTTGTTTGTTTTTCATTTCATTGTGTTTTTGAGGCAAGGTCTCCCTTTGTGGCCCAGACTGGCCTCCCTACCCTTGCTTCCCAAGTGTTGCCATTATAGAGGCGTGCACTATACCTAGAAATTACTGTATTTTTATAATAAATCTTAAACTTGAATAATGTTAGTCCTCTGATTTTGTTCTCCTTAATTATTATTATGAGTATTCTGAGATCTTTTTTCTGCTCCACATAAACCCTAGAATCAATTTGTGGATACGGTATCAGCAACATAATGTATCACCAGCATAACTTCCTGGATATAACTCTGGGTTGTATTGAATCTATAGATCAACTTGTGAAGAATGGAAATCCTGGGTGTTAGGTCTTCCCGTCTGAACATGGAAGACACATTGACTTCTCAGCTCTTTGATTTGTTTTGTCACAGTTTTGTTGACCTTGTTCATATATCTTTAGATTTATTCTGTTTTACAGGCACTTGCGTGCAAGCTTCACGACCAGAGTCTAATTCCCCAGCACCCACATAAATGTGGAGGAAGAGACCAGACTGCACAAAATTGTCCTCTTACCAACACCTGTGCACTCACCCCAATAATAATTATTATAAAAAGGATAAAATTGGGGTATTTGAGACCTGGTCTTATTATGTAGCCCCAGTTAGCCTAGAACTCACAGAGATCTGCCTGTCTCTGCCTCCCAAGTGTTGGGATTAAAGGCATGTGCCATCATGCACAAAGATAAGGGGTTTTTTTTGTTTCTTTGTTGATTTTTGTTTGTTTTTTGAAGGAGTGTTTAAGTTTGCTGCTGTTCCTAAGCATCAGGGGTCCTCTAGTTGCTATGATCATCTTCTTGTTCATCATGAGTCTGGGTGTGGCCCAGTGAGGGTGCAATACTCCAAGGAGAGAAGAGGACTCTGAATTGTCTGGTATATTCTTATTTCTTCTGAAGTGGGGTCTTGTTTATCCCTTGAAATTCTGGTGGTACTGCCTCACCTCACAGGGGCTGGATTTCCAAATATCACCACACCTGGTGCTGGTACCCCAGTACGTCTGCATCCTAGGAGAGCACTCTGCTAACTGGGCTGCGTGCCCATCCTCTATTTGAGATTTTTCTATTAAATTAACATAATGAGGGCCAGAAAAAGCAGGGAAAGCTAAGCCAAAGGCTGGGTATCAAGATGAAATGCCACATCTGCTGACATCTGAATGTACCAAAGGACTCTTGGGGTCATCTGTTTGTGGGAAAGTGAGAGGCAATTATCTACTGGAGCTCATCTCTTTTAGTCAAAAGTCTCCCAGAGCAGGACATAATGGCACACTCCTGCAACCCCAATGCTTTGGGGGCTGAATCTGGAGGGTTGCAACTTTGATGCTAGCCTGGGCTATATAGTGAGATCGTGTTTATCCCTGTGATGTTAACTCTACCATATTCCAGGACATATGTAAGGCAATGAGAAGGTCCCTGTGGAAGAGCCCTGAGGCAGATCGCCATCAGGTGGCACCCATGAAGAGCCTGTCAAGGCCTACATCAGTCACAGCAGAGATGTCTGGAAGGCAAGAGATGGAGCCAAGAAGGCAAGAAGTGGTGGTTGAGGGGTGTTCAATGGCATCTACAGAGAGGCTGTGCCACTGCACAAACTCTACTTGGTCACACTGAGCTTAGTTATATCAGGACATGGTCCCTGCCTCCTGAGACTGATGAGGAACAAGTCAAACCTTTCAGAGCCCCTTTCACTGAAGAGGACAGCTCAGCCTGCAATGAAGAGGTGTTAAAAGACCATGGAAACACCCTACGTTCTATGATTCTGTAAGGGATGCCGAGGCTAAAATAAAATTCCATCATTTCCTCTCTCTGGTTCCCCTCATCCTCAGCTAGCACTTTGGAATGACTTAGAATGTCATCCCTCAGTGGCTCAGCCCTTATATGCCCTTGCCAAGATGCAATGGCTTAAGTTCCTTATTCCTAGGTGTGGAATTCCCAGATGTCCAGAGACTCCCTTTTGTCTCTGCTCTTCCTGTGTAGCTCAGGCTACCCTTGAACTCACAACAATCCTCCTGCCTCAGTTTCCTAAATGCTGGATTACAGGTATGGGCCACCACACCTTCTCCCAATTTTTTTGCTTGAAATTAATTTTGTATTGATTGTTTGGGAATTTCACATCATGAACCCTAATCTTGATCATTTCCCAGTCCCTCTGTATCTGCCCTTCATCTCTGTAGCACACCCCCAAAAGAAGTAATTTAAAAATATTAATTAAAAACAAAGCAAACCCAGGTGGTGATGGTGCACACCTTTAATCCCAGCACTCGGGAGGCAGAGGCAGGTG